AGAGATAGGATACACACTGCTATAAAACACAGCCGCTACTGCTGATCCTATCATAAATTTCAGAATTTTTTGCTAACGAAATGGTTCCACTCACTGTGCACCTGACACATAACTCCCAGCGCTTAACAGCCCTGCCATGAGCAAAGGCTCTAGAAAACACTTAGTACTGAGTGCTCATTTTCTATGGTCCTGTCCTTTCTTTTCTCAAACAAAACATCCTGTAATATTGCTTAATGCAAATTATTGTGGGGAATCAACGTCTTTGTATTTATTAGTTTTAAAATTCTGCCAGTCTCCCCATCCTACCCTCCCATTATTAATTTTTTTTCTTTGCATTGTTTAGGATATAATTTTGTGAAGTTTACTCTAAAAGAATATCATTGGCGAATAATTATAATCATGACCCATGAAATGTCTCCTCTGCCTACACTGGCCCCTTCTTCTCAGCCTTTCACTTGAGCGTGCTTTTCTTCAGATGCGAGTAGATTCCTATTTCATCTTAGCTTTCCTTTTACCTAAGTAATTCACTCAATATAGCTAAAACACTTGTTAAAGTTTTTTTCTTAGATCAGCTAGCATAAAGCAGTTTCCAGTCTTGAAATAGAGTTGCTGTATGGAAAATATAAGCCCTATAAACAATATTTTTAAATCTTTGAAAATACAAAAAAATTATTGATTTTTTTAAAACATAAAAAATTGACCTTTTGCTGTAAATGTTATTTAGGTTTCCAGATTAGACCACAGAACTTATTTAATTCATTATAATGACTTGAATTCTGGATTTTGGATAAAACAAAGCACTTAGAAGGGGGTCGGGGAGACCTTCTTGGCTACAGAGTCAACATTGCTTCCTTCCTGCTTCTCTCTCTTCTCAAAGCCATTCCCCTGCTACCAAAACTGCAGGTGGGTGTCTCTGCCCCAGTGTCTGCTCTGCGCCATGCACAGCATGCATGCTCTTTGCTGGGGTAGACCGAGAGAAAACATGCTAGCCCTAGCTCATTTAATTCATCAGCTAATGTCTGTGAATGGTTTGATATTCCCTAACCTTCCCAGGGATGTTTATACTTTTTAAACATGTGTTTTAAAGCAAATATGTAGTTCTGATGCTAGTTGGTGAAGGCTGGTGAGATCTCAGAGATAGAAAGACCAGATCGAGACCTCTGCCTGATGTTTCCAGGGTTTTTTGTTTTTTTGTTTTTCTATTGAAGAATTCAGAGATGATACAAAATAAGGATTTAGGAGAAGTTTTATCACAGAGCAATAATACACACTCCAGATATACGTGTGGGTTTCTCAAGAGAGAGTTGCTTTCTCTGGAATTTTGAATATCATATCTTATGGGCAAACTTTAATGGAGGGGAGGATTATTTGTGAGTTAAGGTGGGGAATTCAAGGAATGGGTCAGGATTCTCCTGGAATAGGGCTTTCTCCCCTTTTCTATACTTCTGTAGGATTGTTGGCTGCGTCATGGCATTTCATTCATCTGCAAGGCTAGTGATATGGAGAGGCCATTATAATGAAGCACAGGACAGTCAGCATCCTTCTTGATTGGCCATGTTGGTCCCAGTCAGTATTTGGTGATCTTGCTTTTTTACTGCTTGAGTGATCACATGACAGCTCTGTGGTGGCATCAGCCTTTGGCCACCAGGCAGTCTACCTCTTTATCCCTATTCCTCTCTAGCCTGTCTCAGTTCCACATAACTGGTGGCACATTTGGGAGGTAGCAAAGTGGAGGAAAATCAATGTGACATTAGGAGAGGTTAGAAGTGGGAGTGAAGGCCATCATCTAAGCACTCTGTCCCTGCTAAGTGTGCTCCCACTGCATTTGCAGAGTGAATGAGTACAAAGTGACCACTTTCCTCGGCTTCTTTTATTCTTGGTCTTAGGTTTTTAAAAAGCTGCCAGTTGTCCTGTTTACTGGGCAAATAGGCAATCAAGAGTGGGAGCTTTAGGAGCCTCACAGAGCATATAGGACATACAAATTCATTTGGTAAGTAAGGAATCCTGACCCGCCTTTTTTCCAGTGCTTGGGTTTCAGCTCAATCCTGTATTCTTTTCAAAATGAATTTCTTCCCATATAAAAGTGGTATATAACTAGCTGGGTGTAGTTACACACACCTGCAATCTCAGTACTCAGATAGTGGAGATGAAACCAGAGTTTTGGACCCATGACCCAAACACCTGGGGTTCTACATGTCAGGTCTAGCCACTTATCCCTATACACCAAATAAAGAGACATGTTGAAGGCAGAGAAAAGAAATGTATTACATGACCCTGGACATGCTGTGGGAAGAGGCAAAGTAAGCACTCAGCCCATCTTCAGCCATCTTCAGGGTATATACATGAGCTATAGCTTTAAGTAGACAAAAGCACTGGGGACAGGGGACAAAATGTATGCATAGTTAATCAGTCCCAGTCACACGTTTGTTCTGGCTGGCCTTTATCTCAGTTAAGTCTTCCAAGAAGGATTCCAAACAAGTTATTATTGCTGTCATCATTTGAGGGGAGTGATCTGGTTCCCATGCGATGCTCTGGGATGCGGCCTCTCATTTGGAGGGGTGGTCTATCCTGCAAGGCTCTGCTGTTTCTTATGGGTAGTTTTAGACCCTGTCATAAAGGTGTTATTGATCATTCCTGTCCTTCCTTGATTCCAAGGTAGCTGCAGGAGAGAGTGGCTCAGAGCAAAGGACAATAGGTACAAAATGGAGGCAGAGATGCCAAGCTTTTCTCTGGCTTTTAGTTAATTCATGGGCCCAAGTAAGGAGTCAGTGCTTTTCATTAAAAGCCATTTAAACATCTTAAGAGGTAGGAGGATTTCAAGTTTGAGACAAGCCTGGGCCATATAGTGAGACCCTGTCTCAAAAAACAAAAAAATCATTCATGAAAGTCTAAAGGTAAAGATTTTACCCATAGTGCCACCATCCAAAGGAAATCAATGCAAAATGTTGTATTTTTAAGAAAATAAACTATAAACAATTACTCATAAAAGGATGTTGCTCTATGTTTTTTATTTTGTTTCATTTTGGCTCTGGTTTTGTTTCCTGACTGAGGATCTCACTATGTATCTTAGGTTGGCCTGAAACTTGTGATTCTTCTGCCTCAGTCTCCTGAGTGCTGGGATTGCAAGCATATACCACAAGGCATGACTATTACATGTATTTAAACCAGTTAAAATGGCCTCCTGTTTTGTTAATATTGCCAGATCAATACCATCTTTTTCAATTCATGAGAGTTTCATGAATAGTTCACATGGAAACCACATCACTGAGGCCTGTGGCAGCCTTGCCTAGTCACCCGGTAGCCAATTCTGGTTCCTGCAGACTTAACACACCTTCCAGATGCTGTGCATCCAGGGGAAGATGTTCTTCCTCAGTAAGATTTTGTTTTGTTTTGTTAAGCTAATTCTCACCCACTAAGACTCTGGGGAAGTAGACAAGGGTACAGATTTGTTAAGCAAGATAGAAAGGGACAAGTTTTAGTGGAGCACTGGCAACTTAATGCCACCCAGTTTCTGAAAAATACAGACGTCTTTTCATCCACTAATTTGTTTATTTCTTATCTATTATACTGAGATATAATTTTATATATTATAAAATGGAATAAAATAATGGCATAGTATAGTGGGGGCTTTAAATTATTTTCCTCTTATTCTTTGTAGAGTATATCCAGGTTCTTGTTAATTCAGTTCTTTTAGTTTAGAAATACAACATATGAGATCATCTGATCAATGCTGTATTATCTGCTTGTCTTCCTACTATGAACTCCTAATCAGTGTTGTCCTTGGTTGTGGCAGTAACATTGACATGGTGCCTACCAACCCCTGGTCTACTCCAGATCACTTGTTAAAGCCAGGCAATGCCTGGCCTGATAGGCTTCTTTGGATTTGCAAATCCTCTGGTCGAATTATTGCTTGTTCTGGTGTAATTCTGACTTCCTTCACCAGTTCATGTCTTTCCCAGGAGATACACTTACTGTTTATTCCTTGTCCTTCTTTTGAAAATATTACAGCAAGGAATTCATTTAGTTTTTTTTAAACTGTCTTCTTTTTCTATCAGTAATTCAGTATAACGCATTTTAAAGACTGCTCCATCTCTTTCATTGATTTTAAGTGACTTTTAATTATTTTTTACCTTTAAAAATGCACAGCTTTTAATGTTCAGAAACTCCTGCTGTCATCACAGAAGGTATATTCTTTATAGATTGTTTGGATGTCTCTGGGTGTTGGTCTTGGATCACACGACGATGCTGAGTTTGGAGAAGCATCAATCGGTTGAGGCTGCACCCCTGAAGAACAGAATTACCAATGGAAACTTAATTATAAATACCATATCATTGTGTTATAGAGAACTTTGTGATGCTGGTGTAGAAGGGACATACAGGTTTCAAGGAGTCTGTGCTTTAATGGATACACTCTCCATTTCCGTGTACCTGCCCTACTGACGATGGAGTCATCAGCATAAGATTACAGTCAGTTAATTAGTGTTTACCAATTATTATGTCATGAAAGAAACAGCACCAGACACTGTTGGGAGTGGGTAGAGGATTCAAGGCACCTTGTATTTACAACACATGCACATGAACCGTAACTTCACGTGCAGCGCAGCACAGGAGGCTCTTGTTGGGCAGAGAATGCAGTGGTTCTGCAAATGCTGTACATGAAATGTGTTGTCAATTAAGGCACAGGGAGAAAAAATTGTGTGGAAGACTTCAGAATAAGCTTTAGTTTCTATAAAATGTTGAGAAGAGCCTATGGTATCAATTTATAGTGATTACTGAGTTTTTAAAGAATAAAGCAAAGTAAGCTAATAATTATGGAATGGTCCCCAGTGGGATGGCTAATATAACTCACAGGCCTGGGTGGTCTTTGATATTTGAAAGGCCAATAATTAGAAAGTACTTAAGATTAGAGGAAAGAATCCCAGATCACTTAGGCACTAACCTGCTTCCTTGCCCATGTGGGTGAATGTATGCCAACAACACATGCTCTTTCTTGTTTTCAGCATGCACTCCTGGCTTTAAAGTTTATACTCGCATTTGCCATACCTGATAAGCCACGGCATATCCAGATAAAGCTGGCCAGATTGGAATTTGAGTCTTTGGAGGCCCTCAAGCAGCAGGTAAGAGCAACTGTCCTGAAAAAATGAATGTACAGAATTTCTTTAGAAAATGATAGGAACCATAATTCACAGCAGTTCTGCCAAACATTTTCTTCAGCATTGAGTTACTAATTTAAATAAGTGAATGCAGAGGACTCCAGTTTAGAGTGATATAGCAAAACCATTAGCAACAGGTAGGTTTAAAGCACTCAACTAAGCAAACAAAAATGTTCAAGCAATGTTACATAAAAAACAGAACTAGCATTTGGCAAAAGAACGAGAGATTTCTAAGAATCACACTATAGTTCCCTATAGTTTGTAATTCTACCTTCCACAGAATCATGAAGGGAAAAGTGAGTACACAGAATCCTGAAGAGTATCTTGCAGAGAGTAAGGGAAAATGAAAGGAGTATGGGTAGAAGCCACAAAAATTGCCAGGAAAGAAGACAGTAGTTCTCAGTGATTTCCATATTTGCCAGGAGAAACTGAGAGAGAGACAGACAGACAGAACTGCCATGCATAAGCTCACCATTTGGTGCTTTTCTGCCTGTAGGGAGACAGAGGATTCCTAAACGTCCAGAGCTAGTTATCTTCAGTAGCAGTTTAAGCAACAAGAGAATCAATAAGGCAATATTTTCTAAGGGGACAAGCTCTAGGTCTAGAACTTCTTGGAACACACAGTCTCTTCAGCCTCCAAACCACTTTGCACAAGAAAATTTTCTTCTTATGGTTAGGGAATTGGAAGTGAGGAGAGGGGATCCTCCGTTAGAGCAGTATCTGCCCTGATTAGGTAGGCTTACCCCCAAAGAGGACTCATGATAAAAATCATAAGATTTTTATCAGAAAGAGGGAGAACCTAGGCCCTCCAGCCAGAGCTGTGCTTATGTTGCCACATAGAAATTGAGAAGACTAAGTTCCCTGTGTCTCCTAGAGGCAGGGCAGAGTCACTTTTGGCACCTAGGTTAACCAGTGTGACTGTAATCTTAAACCAAAACCCATCAACCATCATGCTTCTTAGCAGATACTGGAAGTGTTGGCGAGAAACCTACTCTTACCACTGTTATTTAGCTTGTTCTGGAAGTACTTATCAGCACAGTTACATAAGAGGAAGCGTGAAGAAGCTCAAGTAACTAAAGAGGAAAGTTTATCAGTACTTGACAATTAGAGGATTGTATATCTCAAAATCACTGAATAAGTTACTAAAGAGGCAGGTTATAAAGTTCATCTAAAACCACTGTTTCCTTCCATAAGAGGTAATGACCACTAAAAATATTGTTGAAGAAAAATTCCCATTCACAGAAGAAACCAAATATTGGTGGTAATTTGTTAAAACAATATGAATAATCTAGAGAAATTTTAAAAATTTTTTCTTTTATTCATATGTGCATGCAATGTTTAGGTCATTTCTCCCCCCTTTCCCCCGTCTCCTTTCTTATCCACCCCCACACCCTCCCTCTCCCCGCCCCACACCCTCGATACCAGGCAGAAACTCTTTTGCCCTTATCTCTAATTTTGGTGAAGAGAGAGTATAAGCAATAATAGGAAGGAACAAGGGTTTTTGCTAGTTGAGATAAGGATAGCTATACAGGGAGTTGACTCACATTAATTTCCTGTGCGTGTGTGTTACCTTCTAGGTTAATTCTTCTTGAACTAACCTTTTCTCTAGTTCCTGGTCCCCTTCTCCCATTGGCTTCAGTTGCTTTAAAGTATCTGCATTAGTTTCTCTGCATTGAGGGCAACAAATGCTATCTAGTTTTTTGGGTGTCCTGCCTATCCTCATACCTCCCTTATGTGCTCTCGCTTTTTCATGTGATCAAAGTCCAATCCCCTTGTTGTGTTTACCCTTGATCTAATGTCCGCATATGAGGGAGAACATACAATTTTTGGTCTTTTGGGCCAGGCTAATCTCACTCAGAATGATGTTCTCCAGTTCCATCCATTTACTTGCAAATGATAAGATTTCATTCTTCTTCATGGCTCCATAAAATTCCATTGTGTATAAATACCACATTTTTAGAAGAGAAATATTTTTCAAACTCTCCTGGGATCAAGAAATTAAGTCTTATAAAACTTCGATGCCAATTCATATAGGTAGAAGTAAACATTTGAGGGCTGGCAGTATGGCTCAAGTGATAGAGCAATGGCCTGGCAAGTGCAAGACCCTGAGTTCAAACTACAGTACTAAAAAAGGAAAAGAAAAAGAAAAAAAATAAACATTTGAAAATAGAAAGGAAACTTTTGACAAAGAAGAAAAATGGGTTCACTAGCTCTGCCAGATATTAAAATGTATTCTGAATAATAAAATAATTAAATACATTTTATATTAGGGAAGAAGTGGACAAGTAAGTAGAATAGAGCAGAGTTCCTAAATGGACCCAAATAGAACTGGCAATTTAGTTGATGGGCAGGAGTGACATTTTGGGTTAGTGGAAAAAAGATTATTTGTTACCTGGTTTAGTGATAAATAGCTGTTTGGAATATCAGTACATTTGGTTATACCTTATTACTCATGACTCCTTCCATCAACTCCAATCTAGAGAGTAGAGAGATTTAAAATTAAAAATTTAAACCCAGGGCTGGGGATGTGGCCCAGTGATAGAGCACTTGCCTATCATCCACAAGGCCATAGACTAAACCACCAGCACCTCAGGAAAATAAGAAAAAACTTAAACCATACAGTGGTTACTTAAAAAAGCCAGGTACATCCTCTAATGAAAAGTGCCTTCCTTCTCAGGACAAAAAAAAAATCTTAAAGGAAAATATTGATAAAGTAAAATACTTGAAAATTTAAAACTATTATATTACAAAAAATAAACAAACTCAAAAGATGAATTGGACAAACTGGGAAAATATTTGCACATGTGACAAGGGGTTAACATCTTTAATTTACAAGAAATTTTTTATAAATCCATAAAAAAAGACAACCCATTAATTACAGGGTAATGAGGAGGTGCAGAACCTCTCTTTGAAAGGAATGTGAGTTGGAATGCCAGTGAAACACCATGGTTCACCAGGCTGTTGAAATATGTTGATAGCCTGTTGGGATAGATATCTCTCATACATGATTAGCAGGTGTGCACAGTGGTTCAACCTTTCTGAAATACGGTTGAATTGAAATTTAAATTATCAGCAACACAAAATGACTCTTGCTAAGGAAATAGCTATGCTTGCATTATACCAAAATACAGTCATTGAAACATTTTTATTAGCAAAACTTGGGAGGCAACTAATCTTCAGTAAAGACTGGTTAAATAAATTATGGTATATCCATATAATAAAATTCTATGATCCTCTCTTTTAAAAAAGATCCGCCTGTGCTAGCGTGTACATGTGTGTGCGTGTACATGCATGTGTTTTGTTAAATGGAAAAAGCAAGGTATGAAACAACCCAGTCCCCTTTGAGTCAAATTACAAAGAGAAGAAGAAGGAAAGCAAACAGAAATGGATGACTGCCTGACAGGTGCATTCATGTTTCTTGGACAGGCTCAGAGGAAGCCACAAACAGTCAGTGCTTTGGTAGAGAGGGATTAAGATTTCTGTTTCGATGCACCATTAAAATTTTCTGGCCATGCGCACATTTGCTCAGTTGGTTTTCACATGAACGGGAATCCCCTGGGAGGCTTGTTACTTGTCAGTCATGGTCTGTATTCTTTTCTTCACTTACACCACGAATGTGAGTAAGTGAGGAATGAAGACGTCCTTCGTGTTGTTGGATTGAATACTTCCTTTATTTCTCGTAGACATTTCAGACACATGGGCACATCTCCCACATACTCTTCCTTCTTTTTTCCTTTTTAACAAACATTCATATTCTTTTTTTTTCCATTTTCTTTTTTTTAGTAAAGAAAAAGTAAACATCAGATGAAATGCAAGCATATTTTATACATGGAGTTTGAGGCCACATGTTAAGTGTGGACCCCAAGGGGCAATGTAAGGCCAAGTGGAGTTTGTAAATTCCTCCGTAAGCCTCTCAGGTGAAGTTGCAGTGACTCCAAAACTAGAAAACAGAGCCATGGGCCAGGACTGAGGCATGCAGTCAGCCAGCGTTTTTTGTATTTGCTTTCTCTGAAGGACAACCTGGGATGAAGTAGGTGGGGTAGGCAGAGTGCGACACCTCCAGACAGCCCTTCTCCTCAGGCTCTATGGAATGTGGGGGAAGGGGAGAGGGGACAGTTTTAGGGGCCTCAATTTTCATATATTCAACTTACATATGTAGTCTTTCCTAAGACTACAAGAACACCTGGGGTCTGCTGGTTCATTCTGGCCATCCATGGCTACCTGTCCTTTCATAGTGGCCCTTCTGCCACTTTCAGAAGGAAGGCACACCTCTCTCCAATCCTGAACCCTAGCCTGTGCCTTGATCCCAGTATAAAAACCTTCTAAAATGTGTCGGGAACTAAGCTGCATTTGATAAACTCACTCCTGTCTCCCGCCCACCCAAACCAAAGCATTTAATTAAAGCATTAAATGCATTAAGACATGCATTTAAATTATCCAAAATTTTAGGTTCAATAATTGTCAAAATGTGCATTATATTTTTTTAAAATTTTTCTAATTTATGCACCAGTAATACTGGTAATGATCAATCAATACAGAAAAAAAATTAAATATACAGAGAGATCTATGTCACAGGAAAACTTAGAAACTTATAAAATTCAATTTATATTATCATAGCAAAGTATGAGAGAATATATCTATCTCTCAAGCAAAAACTATGCTTTATTAGGATAAAATTCCTTGGGAGAAATGGAAAAAGTATGACTTCAAAAAGAAAAAAATTACTATTAATTATGAGCATATCCATGTGTTTTCAGATGGCTAATGGTAGATATCACATCATTGCATTGCTTAAAGTCTCTTGTAAATCTTTAAAAGAATGACTTCATAGTTTATTTTCATGTTAGTATTTACCATATGCTGGAAAATACATTTTGCAGCTATTTAATTTATGATGAAACATTTCAGATGTCAATTTAAAATTGTGTAGGAGGGCACATTTTCTTAAAATTTTTAGACAGTAT